GACTCTCCCCCTTCCCCTGTCTTAGAATCTCTCACTTTATTAACCTCCCCTCTCCCCTCTTGTATGTTAGCGTTTGTTTAGCCTGGAGTGGCCCACAAAACACTTAGCATACTACATTTTCTCATTTCCTCCTGCTCATGGCCCTGCCAGGTGACCCCTCTTTTGAGGCCATTTTTCAAAGGAGAACCAGAACCTCAGAGATTTAAGTGACTTGCCCAGGGCCAGTCAGGGTCAGTTAGAGAGCGCCAGCCCCAGAGCCTGCCTTGCTCGGCTTCCGCAGGCCACCAGGTCGTTTGGCACCGAGTCTTTGCTCGGCTAACCCACCTGAGTCTTCCCCAGCTCCTCCCAGTCTCGCTCTGTCCTTCTTTCTCCTCCCTTGAATCCTGGCAGTCTCTGCCCTCCGTTCTATGCTATTCAGTTCCTCACTTTCATGCTGGGTCTCAACCCTGAGTGGCTTCCCCCAGCTCCCTCTGGAGTCCCTGTCCCTCCGTCTATTTGGGTTTGGTAGAGGCCCGGCCTCTGACCCTCACTGCTGGGCTCGGCATGGCCTGGTGAAGCCTACGAAGAAACTCGCCTTCGTTTCCATCCCAGTATTTCCATCCCAGATGAGTGTGTGTGCACATGCATGCGTACACACGGACACACGTGTGCTCTCACGTGGGAGCATGCACATAACACATGTATCCACACACATGCCCTTTCATACACACCCCCACACAGGTGCACACCCATGCTATCCCCATGTGCATGTATAGCCACATACTTGTACATACACAAATGTGCATGCACTTGCAATGTACACACACAAACCCATGTGTACTCACACTCGAGTACAGGTACGCAGGTGTGTACACACACACACACACACACACACACGTTATTGCTTCCCACCTTCCCTGCTCTGCAGGGTCCAAGCAGCTGCTCCTCCTCCCCTCCCCCACTGGGCATCATTATGTTTGTTATGGCAACAGGGTCCTCCCCTCCTGATGGTGGCCAGTTCACTGTGGCCAGTTTCCAAACCTTAGAGATTACCATCTTTAAAGAAATGCAAGGAAAGTTTGGATGGATAGGGGAGGAGGACAAGGGGTGCACTTGGTAGCTTTGGGTGAAACTTTAATTGTCAGTCATGGCTTGTTTGAGCTTGTCCTTTTGAAATAACCTAGAACAAAGGGCTGGTGATTAGGCTCTCCCCTTGAGCCCTCTCGCAATCTCTCAATCCCCCCACCCACCGCCCCAAGCGGAGTAGAGAACTTGACCCAGTGCCAGGTCTGCTGAGGGCCTCCATGAGAACTCCATTGGGCAGTTTTCCCTGGAGCTGCCCAGGTACCAGAGAAGGGGCCAGAGCCTCTGTGCCCATGGCGCCCTCGTCTCCCCAGGCAGTTAGATTGGTTATTGCTGGCATCTTTTAGAAACCTTGACAAAAAGGTAATAGGTGGGTAAAAATCCCTGGTTAACCAGGTTTGTTCTGAGCATATTTCCTAGGGGCTAGCTAGGGTGAGATGCAGTAGGTGGGAAGACAGTGATTTTTAAAGGATTTATTTTTTCTCGTTTTGCCTAATAATTGCATTTTTTGTACCCCCTCCCTTGATTTTCTGACATTTCCCCAAATTTTAAAATTTCTTTTGCATTCTCTGTTATTTTTAGCTTTCCATTTATATCATTCTTCTAATCATGGTGGTGTTTTCTAGGCTTTTGTGGCCCCAGAATTATCCTGCTTAGTTTTATAATTCTTGGAAATTGCTTTCTTTTACCTTGCATTTTAAAGCTGTTTTTCTCCATAGTATTTGTTCTGAACCAAATTTCTTCTTGAATGCCTTAGTGTGGCTTCCATTCTTCCTAGGGAAGGAGGTTTAATTTTGCTGGAAACAAACTGTGGCCTTCCTTTAGATTTCAATAGTGCTGCTGTTTTATAATCGGTTTGTACAGAATCGCAGTTTGGGCTATTGCTGGTGCACTGTTTTGTGTGTGTGCATGTGTGTATTTTGGAATTAATGAATATGCTTGAATATAAGGTCAGGATTATATTATGTCCTAAGTATCCCAAAGAAAGAGGAAGTGACTTACAGAGTCCTTGCAAAGTTGCTCATAGGAGGGGGCACCATCTCAACTACTTTAGTTTTAACAACAAAGGACTAGTTGGAGAAGACCCATTGACCTTGACTTGACTCACTAATGACTTTGGGTGCTTTTAAAAGTAACCCGAGGAAACCAATAAGAAGGAAAGAAACACCTTTTGTGTGGCTTTCATAATAACTTCCAGGGACATGGCCTCACCATTGCCAGGGTTTGTGAGACCACTCTAAAAACAATTCATTGAGCAGTTAATATATAGAGAGTTTTAATGGGTACTTATTATTTAAATGGCTTGGAATAAGATTTCCATCAAGTGCGTCATACATGATTAAAAAGTACTTAAATCTCAAACATCCAGTCAACTTGAAGATGGTGTTACACTGGAAACACCATACTCTGTCATCTTTGTCCTGCCTGTGACAAGTTTTAATAAAATTGTTTCATAAAATGTGACAGTGCAGGAACAATACAGAGGGTGCCAAAAAATATATATATACCATTTTAAGAAAGAAAAAAAACTATTAAAATTATAATACTTAATATATACCAGTAACAAAAAAAATGAATACAAGTCACGTTTGATTTCTGCAATTACAAGAGGTGCTCAAAGTGGTTAACATCAGCGTCCACACACTTCTGATGACGGCGAACTACTGCTTGAGCAACGTTGACAAAGTGTCCACTTGTATACATATTTTTGGCACCCCCGGTATTTCTAAAAATTAATTATATTAACATTGTAGTATATGCTCTTAAATATGATGGTGCAGCTTCATCGATAAATAGCATAAGTAGTCATTTGATTTCTAAAAACTGCATATTTGTGTTTTCCATTGCATTTCTAAAAATTGTATATTTGTGTTTTCCAAAACCTTTTTGTCTGAGGACAGGGTCTTCCCACTGGAAAAGTGGGGAGGATCACCTTATATTTGGGGTCACCCTGCATTTAGACATATGTGATACCTTTTCAAGGCTGTCGATGTTTTAACATATTCTGTGTAGTGTTTTATTTGATTTGACGTGAAGATACAGAATTCTTTCTTCCACTGGTGGGGGCATTTGGATTGGGGAATATCTTTATTCCCTAACTGCAAGTTTCAACACAGCTCTCCTGTCTCATCTAGTTGTCCAGGCTTAAGGTTACCATCCACCTTCCAATGTGGAAATCCGTTGGACACTTTTTAGAGCTCACCTTTTTTCAGCACTTGACTCCTTAACTCTTCTTCTGGTCTTGACCTGCTGCCCTTCATGGTTTCCATGACAATAGCTTCCCGATTGTTCTTCCCTAGTCTGCTCCATATGTCTGTGTCCTCAATGTGTTTGTTGTCCTTGACCTTGCCCCCAGCGTTCTCTACCCTCTCCCTGGGCAGCCTCATGTGCTTTCAAGGCTCAGCTTCCGCCTGAGTTTGAAGGTTGGTAGTCTGCAGGCCAAATCTCACCTGCAAGGTGGGCTCACTCAGTGTGGTTGTTATTATTGTTTTAAGTGTGAATTTGTTGCCAACACTTAACAATCGGGATCAAATCCAGATTTCTAGCTTCTCGTGGAAAACGGGATGAGCTGGCAGTGCTGGGACGGAGCTGTGAGCCACTGTCCCTGTTTAAATGGGACACCACTCTGCCGTTTACCACAGTCCTCGCAGCTGCTTCCCTTTGTCTCAGGACTTTGACATAGTGCTGGGAGTTGCCTTTTTTGTTTCTCATGATTACGCTGTTCTATTCCTTGCAACAGAGATAAGGAGAAAAAAATAATTCTTTTGCCCAGGTCTCTATTCAAAAGGGAGAAAATAAAAGCTGGTCCAAGAATGCTTTGTTTCCAAACAATGGAAGAAAGCATTTTATGTATGTGTATAGAAGGAAAGAGTATTCTTATGTATTTAATATGCATAGTGTGTCTGAGTTGACAGGCTATGACTTAAGATGCTTCTAGTCGTTGACCTAGATGGTTTTGATGACCACATACGAGTATATGCTTTTGCACACATTTCTTTCCCTCTGAAATCTAAAAGATCTATTTGGTAATAATGTAGACTCATTACTTACTGGGTAGCTGGGATGTGCAAAGGTACTGGGGTACAGTGGTAAGCCAGGGAGGCATATCTTCTGCCCTCAAGGAGCTTATAGTCCTGGGCACACATTCTATAGACACCTCACACTCAGCATGACCCTGAGTGCATTTCTCTCCCACCTCCTCCTGTTCACCCCTGAATCAATGACCCGCACACACCCATGATCTGATTAGTGACCCCCATTCCACCTGCAAACTTAATTCCCTGTGATCCTATAAGGTTAACTAACATATAGTCATATAGTTAGTTAACTAACATCAGGGATTAGGACCCTGACATCTTTGGGCTCTATTTGCCTGCCCACTAGAAAATCTGCTTGCTAAAAAGATTGATTATTATGACCTGCCAATTTGTGGATGACATTTGGACTCCATGCATAGAGGCTGTAGAACTGACAAACTATATCTGCATTACGTTTTTTTTTTTAAACTGCTTTCCCGAATCTGTTCCTCCCTCTGGTTGGCGTTGCACACCGTCTCACAAACACGTGGCACATTTGTAATTTCCCTGCCAGTCCAGGCAGCACCTGTCTTGATGATGTCTTCCACTGTCTCCTAACCCCAGTTCTATTTAACTCCCAGGATTCAGCGTGGTCCCATTTCTTCCAGAAAGTCCTTGTGATTTGTTCTGCCCTCAGTGTTCTTTGTCTTCTCTGAAAATCCTCTGGCTTTTTTAAGTCTGCAGCAATGAACTATTCCACGTTTTATAAACATTTACTTCCGGATTGTGCACATTTAAGCAGAAAGCGTCATGGGCTGGTTCAAAGTGACTCTGAAACCATTTGTTTCCCCTCAGAAGCAAAATGTTATCCCGCTACTTCAAATGCCTGTCTAACATGTTGTATGATTTTATTTATTTCAGAGACTTGAAGATAGAAAATTTGCTGCTAGATGAAGACAATAATATCAAGCTGATTGGTATGGCTTATTGTTTGTTTTAAAGTGAGATTATACTTAAGTGTTGTGTTGTCAATTCTCATTTATTGGGTTGTCGGAAAAGTCATGACATATTTTTTCTATGTTTTTTGTTGCAAAAATGCGTCATGACTTTTCTGACAACCCAATATTTCTGGATTATTGGCTTAGAAAATTATTCCTGGCCTATTTTTAATCCCCAGACAATACTTCTAGATCACCTCCTTTTGCTTCCAATATTTAATAATGGTTTTGAAAATGAAAATTAATTTTAAGAATAATTTAAACATAATTAAGAAGGTAAAGTGCTGTAAAATATTCACGTGTTCTTTGGGTTATTCAAGCTGCAGCCTCTCCGTAAATTCAGTTGGACCAGAACTTTTAGACGGGGTTATTTTTCTTTGGATTAACCATAAAACTTCTCAAAACTAGTGGGAAATAGTTTTGTTCAGAAGTGCTGCCCTTAGCTTAGTCATGTCTTATTCCACTTTTCAATGAATGTAGGGGCACCAAAATAAGGGGGAACACAATTTACCTCTTCTTTTTCATATAATCTGTTCAAACCCTGTAGTACAAAGGTGCTTGTGCAGAGAGAAACCCCCACAGAGGGATAATTTAGAGGTCTGTACCGATCAGAAGGAAGTTCCACGAGAGAGTGAGTCATATTTACTTCACAATTGAGGGTCCACACGCGAATTCACTCCATGGCTCCTTGTCCAGAAGAACTCCATTTTTGTTTGCCTGAGTGGTGGCTCTTAGCAAAATTTCCAGGGCATCCTTTTTACATTCAGATGGTAGACGGCACCGTCTTTTACGTCTCTCTTGTCTCTCTTTTCCCACCTCAAGCGCAAGGAATTTCTTCCACCTCAATGGCTTGAAGAAGACTTTCTATTCGGGGATAAGAGAAGGAGCACTAAAACTTTGTGAATTTAACTTTTGTACTCGAGAAGGAAATTTTGTGTGGCACATGCTGCGAACCACCTCAAGACTCTAAAATATATCATTCAAACAACTAATTAGATACTTTGGATTTGCAGTTGTCTCCCAACCCAGTATCAGGCAAGGGGCTTCAGGGACTCCAAACCCTTCACTGGGTGATTAAGTATTGATGAATACACTCATTATAAGATTAACAATTAAGAGAAACCCCCCCCCCCTTCACCTCCCAAAGATTTTAAAGGATGTATTCTTAGAAGATTCTTGGACAATTCAAAGAATTTTCTTTTTATCAAGTTGCTTCACTATTGGGGCCGGCCGAGTGGCGCGTTGGTTAGGAGTTGGCTTGGGACGCCAGAGGGCCCCAGTTCGGATCCCACATATGAGAGTCAGTGACACTGCACTCTACAGCTAAGATGCTGAACAACAGCTCAACCTGGAGCTGGGCTGCTGTGAGTCGCCGGCGACGGCGTAGGCTGCATCCCCTGCTGCAGTGGGTTGCCATGGGCTACCGTGTGTAGCCAGCAGCCAGCGTGAGTGGCCAGCAGCCGCCGTGAGCGGCCGTCCAGAAGCCGGCGACTGATCTGCCTCTCCCGGGAAGAGTGCAATGATGGTGCCAACTTGGGCCAGTGAAGCAACATCCTCCACAACTAGACTGAAGAACAAAAGGACAGCAACTTGTCTGTTCCCCTTTCCCCAATTCCCCAGCACTGTTCCCATCCCCCAATTCCCCAATTTAAAAAAATAAATCTTAAAAAAAAAAATTGCTTCACTATTGCATTTTAGTTGTCCTGAGCGTCAAATACAGCAGCCTTAGACAAGGCAGATAATGACATGGCTGCAGGATGTCTTACTGGTCCTTGTTTCCAGGAACTGTGGTATTAAACTCAGGCATATCCGGGTGGAGGAAGAGGAATGGAGGAAAGGAGGCTGTTTTTAGGTTCTCTCGCAGGTGGACCTGCAACTTGTCTTCAAAAAATGCGGAGGTGACAGGGACAGAGTTGCCCTAACAGCACAGAGATTGTCAGCGAACAGGTTGTGTGAAGTTGGAATCATTCACTTCCATCATGCATCATCTAGAGCAGCGGTTCTCAACCTGTGGGTCGCGACCCCTTTGGGGGTCGAACGACCCTTTCACAGGGGTCACCTAAGACCATCGGAAAACAAAAAGATATTTACATTACGATTCATAACAGTAGCAAAATTACAGTGATAGAGTAGCAACGAAAATAATTTTATGGTTGGGGGTCACCACAACATGAGGAACTGTATTAAGGGGTCGTAGCATTAGGAAGGTTGAGAACTGCTGGTCTAGACTGAGGCTGGTGATTCTAGCCAAGTGCAGTCTACTGGGGGGTTCTCAGACCCCAATACGGCATTGCCCACACTGCTTTCTGTCCTTCCGTTTTTGCCCCCCGCTGCCTCTGTGCTTACCCTCTTTTGTCTCTCCCCAAGGGATAGCCCTAGATGACCATTTATCAAACTAGAAATGTATCGGAGAATAAACAGTGTTGGACAGCACAGACCTTTTATTGGTGAGAAGTTGACTGAGAAGATTCTAAAGCAGCGGTTCTCAACCTTTCACAGGGGCCACCTAAGACCATCGGAAAACACATATTTTCGATGGTCTTAGGAACCAAGACACCGCTCCTCTATCCATCTCCAGGCCCACATGCAGATACACCCACATACGAGTACCCAGTGACCCCTGTGAAAGGGTCGTTCGACCCCTGAAGGGGTCGCGACCCACAGGTTGAGAACCGTTGTTCTAAAGGAACCAGTCACTGTACATGGTGGATGCGTTTATAAGTAGTTTACGGATTGGCCACATAACAAAACCTGCACAAATAAGATGAAGAAATGATGTATCTACACTTGAGCCCCCGTTCCCCTTGATGTGACTGAGATGGTGGTACCTTGGATACCGGGAACCATTTTATTCAAATGCCCCAGTGCCTTCACCTCTCAGCTTGATAACAGCTGGATTGGCTCCCAAACAGGCATTTCAGCTTTTTGAGCCAAAATGGACCTGTCAGAAACCAGGTGTCAGAAACCACAGTTCCCAAAACTACAGGAAAGGAGGCTCTGATCATTAGAATTCCTTTTGTTAGAACTTTTCATGTGGCTTCCAATTCTGTCATGACCAGATAAAACCAAAGAGCCCTAACTCATACCTGTAATCTCAGGAGACATAGTACCATCCCACAGGGCAACTGGAAATTGCATTTAGTTCAACAGAATCTGCATGTCCTCCTTTTTTTCATATACGGAGTAGGCCAAGGAAGGAAGGGAAGGTGCTAGAGGGAAGGATGTCCCAGTGTCTTGTGGGTTTTCTTGCCCCTGGGTTCGGCAATTTGGATCAAATGGATTAAGTGTCTCTAGGATGGTCTTTTTGCAACTTGAAAGCCCTTTGAACGTTTTCCTTCAAAGGAATTTTACCTAGTTGTTTCCCCAAGGTTGATTATAGTTATTACCATTTCTTCCTAATAGTTCCTCTTTCTTTGAAATAATTTGATTTAAATAAAATTACTGAAGTCACGTGAGCCATGTTTCAAATGAACTAGAATTAACTGGGACTAAGATTTGATGTAATCAGGATTTTTCCCTTCAGAAACAAAGCAGTCTGAGGTTTGATAGTTTAATTTAATCTTACCTTAAAAGGTCAGAGCCACAACTTAGAGCACTGCTGCACTTCAGTTTTCCAGAGCAGCATTCAGTTGAGTGTTTTCTGAGATTCATTTTGCAGCTCTCAGAAAATTGAGTAATAATTGGCTTATGTGTTTAAATTGAGGCCAACCTGTGTGACATTACTGGGAACTTCTCTCTGGTTTCACAATTCTAATTATAGGCATATGTGTAAATTTTAATAATTACAATTACAAATGTGCAACGTACTGGTTATTTCTCTACAATATATTTTAAATTAAACCCTTTCAGCTAGGTCAACGTAAGTCATTAAAATGCAGATTTTATCTCCTCCCCTACCCAAACCCTCTGCTAATTTATCTTCTTGAAACTGTGCTTGAAACAAGGCAAGATTCTGTGTTCCCAAGCTTGCCTGAGAACAGTGTGGGGTGATCTGGCCTCTTATCTTGCTTGTCCTGCCCTGTCTGCTATCAAGCACTTCATTATAGACCCAGGTCCTGGAGTTGAGGAAGTGAACTGAATGAGGTAGTTCTTTGCTGTTTTTGGAAGGAATACCATGGAGATTAGGAATTGGGGTCTTCTGTTTTAATCTCAGAAATCGAGAGATAAATTTTCTAGGACTCCTAAGAGATTGGGCCTCTAACATGACTGCTGATGAACTTTCCCTTAAAATGTTGCCCCAAATAATACAATCTTTGTTCCACGGTGCTTTCATTTCACCAGTGAATGCCCTTGATGCATTTGTCGTTTCATTAAAATTCCTTTAGGTTGATTTTCAAACCCAAAGCACTTAAACAGCCATCCAATGTAAAGCTCAATATGATTTTTCTTCTTATGAAAATATTCACACACCCCCTTCTCCCACTTCAGTGATACTACAGGGTGGGGCCTGAGAACAGAGGCCCTGAGATCCTTTTGAACAGAGATCTCCTCCTGAGATAGGAATCTGAGAGCTGGTTCCTGAAGGGCTTTCTTGGCTAGGTGGTGATGGAGCTGACTTGTGCTGGCTGGGTGGAGGAGAAAGGAAATGGGGGCCAGGTGAGGGTGGGGGTGGGAGATTGGGGAGCAAAGGAAGAGAGGAGGAGGGAGGCTAAGAGGAAAAAAATTAAATCATGAAAACATACAAACAAAGGAAGAATTAAATGTGTGAACGTACAACATTTTCGGTTGGTTTGCCAATCTCTGATGTAGGTTCTGATTTTTTATCTTCAACCCTAAGTTGGAGACTTTGGGTGACTTTCTGAACCTTGAAGAGTTTTCAGAGCTCTGCCCAGATGGGGTTTGGAAAAGCTCTGTCATTACACAGCTTAACCCAATGGCTGTTGGGAGACTTTTTCGTGGTGCATCTTGACCCGTGGTGTGCAACATCATGGACTCGCAGCCCTGTCTCCTGTTTCTCCTGTCCTGAACTTTCCCACAGCTTTCCCAATAGTCATGCACATTGCAGGCGGGGACACGTTATCGTCAAGGAGAAAACAGAGTAGTGAAATAGGCAGAAATCCTGCTGGTTGGGCAAGTGCAAGGGTTTTGTTCAAGCCTTGGAGCTAGTCTCCGACCACAGCCCCTTTCTGACAGCCCTGTGGACTGACAGTCTTCTATTTAGGGACCGAGAACCATAATATTTACATTGAAGTTCAAAGGAGGAGCCATGATCTTAATTCTGAGCTCAACAAAGATTGAGGAAAGATATCAGATAAGCACAGAACACTAAAGCTCTCTAATTACCTGTCTTTAAGATCAAAAGTAAACACAGCGCAAAAAGCAGAATGGACCCAGGACGCTTTAGATGGATGCTTTGGGCATTTCTTTTCTCTTCCCGGCTGCCTTAGTCACCCAGCAACAAAGCGATGCTATGAGGTCACTTAGTCTACTTCTCATTGCTATCTTTCTGGCATGATTTTCCCAGCCAACATTCAGCGTTGTCTAAATCACTGAGTATATTTTTTCTCCCTTTTCAAATCACCATATGTTGCTGCATGCATTGGGAGCATTTTTAAAAGACGTGCACGAGATGAAAACATTCAGCTGAAAAAGTCAACGCTACATGGTGGGATCGCGTATCACTTGGGGTGACGCTGACACCGCCAGAGAAAAAATCCGTCTTCCTTCAGCTTTCCCTCCCACCTCCTTGGCCGCTTAGAAGCTGCATCACAGACTCCAAGGCCCTCTCCTTGTTCTTGCTTCCTGCCTCAGTCCTAGAAAGCAAAGCCTCTCTTTTTCCTGGATGACTCATTTCCAAGATTTGATAGAAATATGTTTCGGTTCAACATTCTTTTAGCGCTAGCTGGGTTTTATAGTGAGGCCTGATATAAAATGTTTCCAGTTAAGCCAGGGAACCACCAGCTGACATCCTTTTGTCTTGAGGCCCATATCCAGAGGTTATAGTTTGCAGCTGCTGGTTTTCCTTTTGGATGCTAAATGATGTGTTATCCTGAGAGAACGTTTCCTTTTTTGCTGCCTTTTTTCGCCCCCTTCTTCATTTCCACAATTTTCTAATTTGGAGCCGGTTTTGTCCTCCCCTCTGTGCAGACTTTGGTTTGAGCAACTGCGCGGGGATCCTGGGCCACTCGGACCCGTTCAGCACGCAGTGTGGCAGCCCCGCCTACGCCGCACCGGAACTTCTTGCCAGGAAGAAATATGGCCCCAAGATCGATGTCTGGTCCATGTGAGTTATTGAACTTATGAAAGTGAATGCTCCCTCCTTCTGTCTTTGCTGCCCCTTCCTTATGAAATAACGTCGGAGTATTGGATGAGAACGTAGTATGTTATAGGCTCTGGGATATACATTCAGTGATTCTTTGGAGCCCGGCTTTCCTCCTCTGTTCCTTCTGGTCCTTTCTCCGCAAACTGCCAGAGGCTTTTACCAAAATTTGTTTAGATGCTGGGGAGAAAAGAAAACACAGTCCTGGCCTCACAGAACTTGCGTCTGGTTTCAGGAATCACGCATATCTTTCCCCTGCTTAAAATCCTCCCATGGCTTTCCATCAGCTTCCAAATCGAACTCAGCCTGGGCGCCGGGCCACACTCCCTGCAGGACTAACTTCGCTGCTGCCACCACCACCACCCCGCTCCGGCCCCTTCACCTCCTACCCCACCCTCTGCTTCTGGTTCCGTGTACTCATTAGCTTTTGTTTAGTCTCTTCCATCTCTGGGCTTTGCACATCAGTGTCCTTTGCCAGGAATGCCATTTTCCAGCTCTCCAAATGGCCTGTCCATTCCCACATTCCGGCTTTCATCCAGTGTCACCACTGCAGAGACCAACGCTGAGTTCCCTGTCGAAACGACCTGCTAGACGCTGTCTCCGCACCTCGTTCACTTCCTCTCCAGCGCCTCATAGCCCGTCATTTTCTTGTTTGTTAATCCGTTTATTGTTTGACCACCCAGTGGGAAAGGATGCTACCTGATGGTAGAGACCTTATTGGTCTGTTTCACCAGTGTCTGGCACAGTGAGGGCCACTAGGGGCAAACTCAGTTAATAGTTGGAGGAGTGAGTCATGGGTTGCCGCAAGGGCCCTGTCACAGAATCCGGGTCCTTCATGGTCCTCTCATCATCATATGTGAATGGTGCAGGAGCCATGCAGAGTCCTGGATTCCCGGGTAGGGACTAAATTCCTTGCCATGGGGAGGTGGGCTTTTAGGTGGACAGAGAGTGGGCTCCTGATTAAGATATTGAAGCTAGAGATGAGAGGGACTAATTTGAACCAAAAGTGTGTTATTTCAAAACATTTCTGAAATTCCCCGACTTCTCTCCATTGCACTCTATTTCCCTTGTCCAGGCTGAGAAAAGCTAAAATTTACCACGTGCTTAGTGTATGGCAGGCCCTCTGTCATTTAATTTTCATGGTAACCCAGTGAAGCCATTACTCTTTATTACCCCCATTTTCTAGAAGAAGAAGCTACTCATAAGAGAAATGAATAAAATCCTTCAACGTCACAGAACCACTAAGTGGTGGAACTGGGGTTCAAACCGGACTGTCTCCAGGGTCTCAAGATAAAGTACTGAATCTTGAACATGGTGTATGTGGCCCTCGCTTGGTCCCAGTGGCTCGTCGGAAGCGTCCTCCGTCTCTCTCCGTGTCTCTCTATCCATTCTCTAGCTAACTTCACACTGTTTCCTGTCCCGTGAACGCAGCCTGCCTCCCTCTAGATTCCTGCCCTTGAATGTACAATTCCTTCAGCTGGGAATTCGTTTTTCTGGTCTCGTACTCTCTCCCTTTCCCCATGGGCAGCCCTCCTGTCTCCTGCAGGCCGGCTGGGAGGCCTCCCTTGTCTCCAGTCCCCTGGCCGTCACCCTGCAGTCATTGGGTCACTGTTCACCTGCTGGAACCCCTTGGACTGCAGGCCAAGGGGCAGTGACCCCCCCCAGCTTGTTCCAGGGATCCCTCAGCATGTGGCATGGAGCCTGGGCTAGATAGGACGGAAGGAAGGAAACAAAGGAGGAAGAGAGGAGGGAGGCGAGGGAGGGACGGGCTTGCCATCCAGGGGCGCAGCAGCTGGAGGGGCAGCGGCTGTAGCCGAGGAGTGTCGCCAGTGCAAGGGTCTAGAACTGAGGAATTCTGAGACTTCCGGCAGGAGAGGGAGAGGAACCAGAGACCACATTGAGAGTGTGAGGCCTGCAGACGTCCCTGAACTTTCCCAGAAAGAGCCAGCTCTCCCCAGAACCCCGGCTTGTGAGCAGGGGAGGAAACGGGTTAGTCAGGAATCAGCTTCCGTTCCCAAGCAGCAGCTTCCTTATCCCCTTGGATCTCAGGACACAGACAGGAGGAAGGCCAGAGGCACACACAGTCTGTAAACGGTGGAGCTGCGCTTTGCAGCCGGGCTCGGCCCGAAGCTCGAACTCCTGGTTATCGCTGCCTCTCCCCGGGAGGTGTTGTCGAGACTGCAGATGGAGGGTGTGGGGTGTCTGATGAGTCACCGAAGTGGCTGGGGCCACACGGAGTGGGTGGGAGTGGGAGCTGGGAGCAGCGGCAGAGGACACCTTCTCTTTGAGGTGCCCTGGGTTATTTGGCTGGCATTGCTGATCAGAGTCTATACTGGGCCCAGAAGGGCCTCAGAATCCTTCTCGACTCAGCCCTCCAGGCAGCCCCTACCCGTGGATCAGAGGCGACACATGAAATGAAATCCATTCTTGGTCCCTTCCAGGGCTTCAGAATTCTCCTAAGTGTCTGGCACATAATTTCCATCATTAAATATTTATTGAATGGATGAATATGAATGTTTGAATGCATAATCACCTTTTTTCCTTAACAATTAGGGAACTCATTTATGCTAAATGGAATGCTATGAAAGGGACAATTTGTGCACCAAAAAAAAAAAGGAGAATGAAGAACCTGAAAAACCGAGAGATTCAGGGGTGTATGTAACTGTGGTGACAGGAAGGGGGTGGGAGACATAGTGATCAAAGGGAAAGAGAAGACACTAGGTTGGAAAGCAGTAGGTTTGCTCCCGAGGTTTTGCTCTCGAGGGAACTGGACAATATGGTGTTGTCACCGGTTGTCATGGTGATGGGGGGAAGCCTGTGGAAGGGAACCCTTTCCAGTCATAACTGGTGAAGCAGGCATCTCCTCAAAGTCTAGAAGTGCTGGTAGAAGGAAGGAGGCCTGTGGGTTGTCGGAGCTGTAGGAGAGCAGGGCCTCTCGTGCCCTCCTGCTAACTGTAAGATGGGAACAAACCATGTGTCCTGTCTGGGGACACCCAAAGGGGAAGGAAAAGCACAGGCTGCAAAAGGCCGCACCGTCTGAAGGTCAGTTTTAAGCTCCAGCTTTGTTTCTATCCCTCTACCCAGTACCTTGCCCTGGGAAAGGATCCACATGTAGCGACCACAGAGGCTCCATGTCTCAATTTCGGGGCCCCATGATTAAAACAAAGGGAGCTGGCTCATCGCTACCTGCTGTGCCCCTATCCATTAACCAGAAGCAGAGACTCCACCCAGAAATAAAGGAGCTTCGACGAGGGCAGGTGGAGGGAAGCTGCAGGAAGGATGCGGTGACCCGGGACCAGGATGCCTGGACGCTCGCTTCCCGCCTCCACCCTGGACGTGGCATGGCTGGGCTGCTCCTCAGGCAGCTGGACATTTCCTTGCTAACCTCCACTTATTGCATCTTTTTTTTTTTTTCCCCAAGAAGGTGACGTGCAGCAGAAGGTCTGAAATGCTCTAATCAGGCCTCATTCTTAGTCCTTGTGCTGTAAAGTCACATATATGAAAGCCTTTGCTGAATCGTAATGCACTTTGTACACATTGGTCTTTAGATGATCATGGCATAGTCCTGGAGGCCCAGGTGGGGCCTCCCTGTAGACCAGAAACTGCAGCCCCACAGGTCCCTGTCCTGGTGCCCCACGGTGGGGAGTTGAGGTGGAGACGCCCACCTTTGTTCAGTCATGAAGGACCATGTTTTATTCTTTCTTATAAATGAGAATTCCCTGGAGCAAGTCTGGAACATTCCCTAAGGGATGAGGCCGCATGATCCGTGCCCAGTTCACGGGGATGGCATAAATTAGACCCTTCGTAGAAGCTGTGATAACGCTTAAAAAACAAAAGGAAGCTATTTGAGCAGCATATGGCTGATCAGAGATTTGTTCATTCGGCAGATATTTGTGAGCCAGGCACTATGCCGAGTTCTGAGTGCACGCACAGTGGGGAGTAAGACTGCCTGAGTAGGTCCCTGCACCTGTCGTCACCCTTGGCCTTGTTCACCCTGACATACCTCCAACTGAGTGACGAGTGGTGTTCCAGGGGCTTTCCATGGATGAGCTCATCTCATCCACCTAACAACCCTTCAAGGGAATGTCCCATTATCCCACTTCACAGATGAGGAAACTGAGGTACAGAGAGCCTTAGGCACTTACCCAAATAACAGCTAGTGTGTGATAGAGCACGATTGGACCGAGGTGTTTTGGTTCTAGGTTCTGCCTTTAATTGTCCATCTTTACGGCTTCTCCTGTATTGTACTTCCTCTTACAGGGTTCGCATTCTAGTGGGGCAGACACTTTTTTTTTTTTTTTTTTTTTTTTTTAGCTGAGCCATCCTGCTACCTGTTGGCAGCTCAGTGGCTGCTCAGCTCGGGCTGGACTCGAACCGCTGTTGCTCAGAGCTCAAACTCTTGAGCGAGCTCTTAACCAACTGAGCCACTCAGCCGGCCCCAGGCAGACACATTTTTAAAAAGCTATAAACTGAGTGTAGTAACTGCTGGAGAGGAAGTGGGCAGGATGCAGGGAACAAGAATGGGGGTGCCTTTCTAAGGACATGATCTCAAAGCCCAATGATAAGGATGAGAAGGAATTAGCTGTAGAAAGAGAAAGGTATTAGGGAGGCAGGCTCTAGGCGAAGAGAAAAGGATGTGCAAAGGCCCTGGGGTGGGGAGGTGTGGGAAAGCGTTTGGATTTTGCCCTAAGGTTAGTGAAAGGCCATTGGGAAATTGTAAGCAGGTGAGTAGCAAAAGGTTATGGGTTGAATTGTGTCCCCCTCCCAAATGATATGTCGGAGTCCTGACCCCCAGCATCTCAGAGTGTCACCTTATTTGGAGATAAGGTCTATACAGAGGTCATCAAGTTAAAGTGAAATCATAAAACCCAATATGGCTGGTGTCCTTATAAAAGGGGGAAGTTTGGACACAGAGACCGGAAGAACGCCATGTGACATTGATGGTGGAGGCTGGGGTGATGTAT